AAAAATAGCTGAAAAATACCCCCTTTAAAATATCGGTATGTCGTGACCAAACACATTGTATATATATTTCAAGTAATATGACTAGTAAAATGTATTTACTAGATATCTAGTTTATATTTTACAATTTTTATGGTTTACTGAGCTCAGTAATTGATAGTTTTACTTTAATGATATCAATGATGCTTAAATGCTCTTGTTTATCTTAGAGAATAAAGATAAATTAATCCCTACTTCCATTTGTATTTTTTATTCACATGTAATATTTTGCTAATATGCAATAAACAACAAATAAACAAAAATGTTTGTTCAAAAACTTTTTATTCAACAGAATATGAAAATTTGTTATCATGAGCGGTCGCGAAAAATTTTCTAGGGGACGTCATCGGTAAGAGCCAAACTTTTGGGGAAGGTGTAGCTGTCCCCAAAAATTTATGACGAGTAGAAGTGTATTTGCATCCAAAACTTTTGTAAGAAAGGGAGTGAAGCAAATTTTTCCAGATGGGTCAAATCATCAGAATTTCCAATCGTGTGCATCAAGCGGTGCTGGATATGCAAATTTTACGGTACAATTCGATTCTCAGGGGGGGCGCGGGCGCCTCTGGCTGGCCCTCGTTCATGCTGTAAAATAAAGTTTCTCACCGCGTCTGTCTGTCAGTCTGTCTGAACGCGATAAACTCAAAAACTACCGAACCGATTTTCATATGGTTTCCACCAGTGGACACAGTACTTCTTCGGGAAGGTATAGGTTCATAAGTGTTGTGTACATTGGCTGAAATATGACGGTATTTGACGTACGCTGCGAAATTTGTTGATGATAAATAAAATAAGGTACTACATGTTTATAGTAATTATCATAATTCACACTTATACTTTAGCCACAAATAGATTTTTATGATTGCTTGCCAAGTTATAAGGTAATCAAAGTAAAAAATTGCTCAAGTTTGACAGTCTGAGAGACCGCCATGGTAGGTAGATTTTTATATTCTATAGTTATCCACTACCATCAAGGAGCTTCAACATGAGGTATCACATGACTTTTATTTTTGTCTAAAAAGGGTTCCAAGATGGCATCCAGCCGCCATCTTGAAATTTTCAAGCAACTAAAATATAGTATTCGTGCGTTAATTTAATCTTCTCAAATTTCAGCTTCCTAATCACACTTCTTCCAGAAATTTGTAAGAATGATGTTTTTGAAAAGCAGCGTAAATATGCGTACTTTTCTGTAAGAGGAGCCAGTCTGCCCCCACTTTAGTTTTAGCAGCTACTACTACAACAGATTACTCTAAGTTATTTAAAAAGCAAAATTATGGAATGTTTATCCGGTCTGTTAAAAACCTGTGTCCAGTATGTTGATTCAATATCTCACATATATAGGATGTTAATAAAGTATGTAGAGAAACTTTAACCATTGAATCCTTGGTAAATATAAATACTTAATGTTCGTATGAACATGAATCCGTAGCGGCTTTCTTTTCGAGCTAGAGCACTATCACTAAAAACATACGAGTAATATTTTTAAGAATAGTGAAACGTATTGTACAGTTGGTATAACCTATGATAAATTTTGTATGTTTTACGAGTTGCTGAGGCTCAATATGGATGAAAATAGTATTTCCTCTATTTTTCGAAAAAAAAATTATTTAGAAGGTCAATAGTTTTGAACATTCGAATAGAACGACAACAGAAAATATCGAATAGTTTTTTTTTACAGTAAATGTGGCCACGAATTATTTGATAAAATATATTACAGTGCAACCCGCTTATAATGGACTCGGCGGGACTTTGACAAATAGTCTATTTTATAGGCGGATGACCATCTTACAAGAAACATTTTTTTTTATGAGAAAAGCAGCAGAAATAACATATTAAAATCCTAAAATATGTTTGTTTAACATAAATTACATAAATAAAAATACATACAAAAAAGTTATACATAATTTTGAAATTTGCATTTTTTCAGAATCTGATACACATATTACAGGCATACGTACTGTGTAGGTTTGTGTAAAAACCGTAAATTATTTGGTAAGCTAGTAATTTTCATTTGAACAGATTGTTTTTTGTATAATTATTTAGAACAGCAAGTTGAATTTTATTTAGTTTGGAAAATGTGGCTGTACTGTCTTCTTCTTGCTGAAAATAACGTTCCAATTTTTTCACGCAGTCTAATGCGTCTTTAGTTGTCACTGGAAGCTATTCTTCATCGTTGTTTTCTAGTTCGTCTTCCTGTTCGTTATGAACGGATCCTTCATTAACCAAATTGAAGTCTGACAATTCCTGTGTTGCTATTAAATTATTGTCATTATTTACATACTAATTAAATTTGTCTATTTTCAGTAAACTATTAATTTTCAGTAAATGGAATTCATCTTCTGGATTAAAATCGTTGACTATTTCATTTATGTTTTTCACTAAACCAGCATGGCGAAAACAATTACGAATCATTACTGGAGTAACCAATTCCCATGCAATAGAAAGCAAATTTATAGCATGTAAAATGGTGACAGGTTTGGTAATGTTGACATCTTCTTGGAGCTCCATAATGTTTATCAACAGTTTCCGATACATTTGTTTAAGACTCTAAATGACACCCAAGTCCATTGGTTGTAGAACTGATTTCACATTGGGTAGCAGTAATTGAAGGTTGATGTTATTGAGTGAAATATTTGGATGAGCGGGGCAGTTATCGACCAAGAGCAAAACTTAACGATTCTTCTTAACAAGTTCAGCGTCCCACTTTTTTAAATATCCTTCAAAAATTGATGAAGTTATACAAGCTTTATTATTTCCAACATAATCGACGGGAATTGTTTTAACATTTTTGAAACACCTGGCATTCTTAAATTTCCCTGAAATAGAAAAAGGTCATAAATTCTTTGCAGTACTGCCATTGAATATCAAAAAAATCAGAACATGAATTTCTATTCATTCTCTTACCTATTATCAATAGTTTCCGTTTTTCAGTACCAGAAGCATTAGCACAAATCAGAACAGTTATTCGCTCTTTTGATAGTTTCCCTCCATTGCAAGTTTCACCTTTTAATTTATGAGTTTTATCTGGTAGCATTTTATAAAATATCCCGGTTTCATCTGCATTGAATATGTTATCATCTGAATAATCACTAGATATTACGCGCCTTTGTTAATGTAGTACAAAGGGCTCGTGAATCAGGTGACTTAAGACCTCACAGGGGAGGGCATGCCGGTGCTCCACGACCGCACGATCAAATACAGGTCCGCACTGAAATACTTGTCGGGAGGGTTCTTTATAAAACAAGGTAACATTTTTTTTTTATTTTTTCACACATCTTTTGGTTTATCTTCCTTCTACAATCATTATCTGAAAATTAATGACTCAACTTCAAAGGGTTTCCATTATAAGCAAGTTCATTATAAGTGGATTCCACTGTAATTCAATTATTTTCGGGTACGTCATAGGTGTCTAGAAAAGCACAATTTTTAAATTAAAAGTGTTGTGATCAAAACAAATCAATATCATGCGATTTTTTCAAAAAATACTTGATAACATTATGCATATCTACGTACATGGAGGGTCTGAAAACAACTGTAAATCATGTGATATTCACCACAGGGCATACTTAATTAAAATAAAATACGTTCCAGTCTTTTATAATTTTTTAGAACAATATAATCATTCCTTTTAGTGTTAATTTGCTCTAGCTTGAAAACAAAGCCGTTGCAGATCCATGCTCTTATGGAAATTTCGTCTTCAAATTGACCAAGGATTCGATGGTTAAAGTTTGTCTATATACTTTATTAACACCCTGTATAATTGAATTTTTTAATCATACTTTATGTGGCGTTAGTTTTGAGAATAATATATTGTTAAATCAGTAATCAAATTACCCTCACAATTCTGACTCCTTTTACTTCTCACGCCTACTGGCGAGGAAGTATTGTAATCACGAAAAATTTCGAAAATGAGGTAAGTTTTTTGTACCTTATATCATATGTAAATCACGAAAAACCATGTCACAGATTTCCGTCGGTCTGTCAGTCTGTCTGTCTGTCTGTCTGTAGGTCTGTCTGACGGCTGTCCGCTAATCATTGGCCCCTCTAAACTTGGAAAGTACTCTGATTTGGATACAACACAAGGAACGAAAAAACGTTGTAGATTTGAAAATCGGTCCAGTGCTGGCGGAGAAAAAGATTAAAAACGAAAGCAATAGAAATCGTTCAAACTTGGTTTTTTGACGTTTCCAGGATCGTGAACATATCCTGAAAAAAATTTTAGGGGTAGCAAATTTTGAGGTGGACGGTAAATTCCAATTCTTTGATGTTAGTATACAGTGTGTTTCAGTTTATTGTTGCATAACTTTAAGATTCGATATAACTTTTAAAATTAATGCATAAAGTCTATATAAACATGGGTCGAAAAATGCGTGGCTTCTGAAATACAGGGTGTTTAAATTTACTTTCTAAAATAGTTTTTTTTAAATAGTTCGAACAATATTTGATGTATAATAATGAAAATTGGTATAGGGGAGAAGGGGGCAAGTTGTTACGAGGGCAAGTTGTTACATAATTATTTTAAAGCGCAGCAAGTACGACGGGTTGCCTGAAAATGTACAAGAGATTGGCTCTGCTGACCCGCCATCTGTACACTAACAGTTATACTCATGTGTCGCGTCCTTCATGGTGTTTTCGTGTATAATGTTGTTTCAGTTATAAAACTGTACCGTTGTCTGTTCGCTTTTGTTTCCGTTTGTGAAAAATTGGTAAGTCGTATAAATATGTATATTATACCGTTCTGGAGCCTATATTTTTCTCTTTATTTGCATGCCGTTGTCTTTACCTGATTCACAATACTTACCAAAAAACATTGACCTAACCTCATTTTGTGCACGCGGGGCAAGTTGTTACAATAATTTGGGGGCAGGTTGTTACTGTAACAACTTGCCCCATATATTTTAATGCAAGTACTATAATTTTCCATTCCACTAAAATTTACACAATAAAATTGTTTTTGTTGTTTTCAGGTTCTTGAACATGGTGCGAACGTACAAGAAGAAAACTGCAAGAGGTATTATTCCAATTGAACAATATGAAAGTGCCATGCAGGCCATATTACAAGAAAAATTATCAATTAGAGATCCTGCTACTCGCTACGGGGTTAATTTTATGACGTTACACCGCTATATGAAAAGAAAGTTAGCCCTAAACGTTGAAAACAGAAGCAAGTGCTTAGTTGGGTACGCTACGCACAGAAAAATATTTAACGATGCCGAAGAACAGGAACTTGCGAAATACACAGAGTATTCCGCTAAAATTTATTACGGTCTTACAACTTCTGATTTGCGCAAACTTGCATTTCATTTTGCGATAGCAAACAACATATCTGTTCCAGAAAATTGGAAGGTGAAAGAAATAGCTTCCAAGGATTGGTTATATGGATTTCTGAAGAGGCATCAAACTTTATCTGTCAGAACACCCGAAGCTACTAGTATGGGCAGAGCCACTGCGTTTAATCGCCATAATGTGTCGCAGTTTTTCAATAATCTTGGCAAGGTTTATGATAAATATAAATTCCAGCTTCAAGATGTCTATAATATGGACGAGACTGGACTTACCACGGTCCAAAGGCCCACAAAAATCATAGCAGAAAGGGGAACTAAGCAGGTAGGCGCTATCACTTCTGGAGAAAGGGGTCAACTTGTTACCTTGGCATTAGCGGTTAACGCAAATGGCAATTTCGTACCTCCATTCATAATATTTCCACGGAAAAAATTCAAGGATGTTATGGTAGCAAATGGGCCTCCTGGTTGTGTCGGTGCATCCCATTCCTCTGGGTGGATGACATGTGAAAATTTTTTGTTGTTTATGAAACATTTTGTCCAATTTGTCCGCTGTAGCAAAGAGAAACCAGTTTTAATGGTCTTAGATAATCATGAATCACATTTATCTATCCCTGTGTTGAACTTTTGCAAAGTTAATGGAGTTGTTCTTTTAAGTTTCCCGCCCCACACATCTCACAAGCTGCAGCCCCTTGATCGCACTGTGTTTGGCCCACTTAAAAGATATTTTAATAGTGCTGCAGATGCATGGTTAAGATCTAATCCAGGTAAAGTAATGAACATCTATGATATTCCTACCGTTCTAAGAGATTCATTTTCCCTTGCTGTTACGCCTCTTAATATACAAAAAGGATTTAAGGTGACTGGAATTTGGCCTTTCAATAGAGAAATATTTCAAGATGATGAATTCTTACCCTCAGAAGTAACAGACAGGCCAAAGCCAGAAAATATTAACACATCAATGGAAATAAGTCCTGAACCAGAATTTAATAGGGAAAACCAAAGAACCCCACAACCTTCTACGAGTTCAGCTTGCAGCTTATCGTTAGATAAATCTGTTGATTTACTATCTACTGGTACTCATATAACGCCCCGAGAATTAAAACCTTACCCAAAAGCCATGCCAAGAAAATCAAAAGTAGGTCGGAAGAAAAGAGTTTCCGCAATTTTGACAGACACTCCGATTAAATCTGCTTTAGAGGAGGAAGAAAGGACAAGACAAAGAAAAAAAAATGTGGGAGCAACTAAAAGAAACATATCGGGTGAATTAACAAGTGGGGCAAAGTCTAAATGTAAGAAACAGAGCGCTAAAAAGACCCTTAAAAAAATAGATTCTACAAGCTCAGAAGAGGATGAAGAATCGGCATGTCTGATATGTTTAACTCCATTTTCACATTCTAGAAATGAAGAGTGGATCCAGTGCATTGTCTGTAAAGGGTGGGCGCATGTAGGTTGTGGCAAAGATATCGATTTTTATGTTTGTATTCACTGCTTGTCCGATAGTGATTAGTTTAACTTTCCTTTACAAGTACTTTAGGTTTTTGTTTTTACAAAAGTCTCATTTAATTTTTTTTATTTTACTTTATATAATGTTCCGAATGTTTTTTGTGTTGCTAAATAAAAGTTCCTTCCAAGACCATTTATCAAAACTGTTTTTTGAAGCTTTTGAGTTTTCTTTCTTGTATCATCTTACCCCTTAGACTGTAACAATTTGCCCTACAGAGGGGCAAGTTGTTATAGTTTACAAAGTTGCTTGAACTTATAATTACCAAGTACAAAAAATTAAAAAAATTATAAAATAAAATTGATAATACATGTACAGATATATGTGGTACCTTTCTCCAATTTTAGTTTTCATATAAAAGAACAACTTTTGCCCAAATAAATAACTATATTAATTTTGTAACAACTGGCCCCCTTCTCCCCTACGCTAGGGGGCGCTCTCTACTGTACCTCTAGTGTATTAAAATGACCAAAAATTTTTTCTTAGTGCAATTTTTTGCTTTTTGATTAAAAAAACTAATTCTTCGTACTTTTCAACATAAAAAAGCTCTCTTGTGAATTTTCGTTATAGTTAGCCGTTTTCGAGATATTTCGATTTTTAAGGTTCGATGCATTTTTAATTATTTATGATAAAATAACCTTAAAAAGTCAGTATCTCGATAATTTTTAGAAGTAGGCTGTGCCTGCAAGTATTTTTGAAATTGAAAGCAGAATAAGGTTCAACGTCAATTAGTTGACAGTTAGTTTTGTTGTCTGTTGAAACCTGAAACGTTTTTTTACAATTGTGAATGCACGAAATTTAGTTTCATTTACCTGTTTTTTTTTTGTAAGTTTTATAAAAATGCCATTTTTATTCTCCAATCAAGAGTTAGCGGATATTCATTTTGTGTATGGCTTTGTAAATGGAAACGCAGCAGAAGCAGCCAGAGAATACGCACGAAGATTTCCAAACAGTCGACATCCAAATCGCTCAGTATTTGTAAGAGTGCATCGCCAAATAATTGAAAATGGTTTTGGAAATCTCCAAAGGGATCAAAACATAAATGTTCGTCAGCGCACATTTATCCGTATGATTCTGCGTGAGTTTGATAGAGATCCAACCACAAGTGTTAGGAGAGTTTCTAGTGCCTTGGGAATTTCAGCAAGCCATGTTCACCGTGTTCTTAGAAATGACCATAGACGTCCTTACCATTTGCAACCTGTGCAAGGACTACAGCCAGGGGACGGAGAATGAAGAATCACATTTTGTCAGTGGATTCTTGATAGAACTGATAATAATAGGGAGTTTTTAAGTAACGTGTTATGGACCAATGAGTCATGCGTCACTAGACGTGGAGTGGTAAATTTTCATAATCAACATATTTGGTCGCATGAAAATCCGCATGCAGTTCCGGAAAGAAATTTTCATCATGAATTTAGTGTGAACGTGTGGATTGGTATCTACCGTAATCGACTATTTGGACGCTACCTTTTGCCTGCAAGGTTAAATGCTGCGACCTTCTTGGAATTTTTAAAGGCTGAACATGCAAATATGTGGGATGATGTTATGTTAGATTTAAGAAGATTGGCCTGGTTCCAGCTTGATGGTTGTCCAGCTCATTATTCGAGAATAGTTAGAAACTGGCTGGACGAAAATTATCCAGAAAGATGGATCGGCCGTGGAGGACCAGTCGCCTGGCCTCCACGATTCCCTGACCTAAATCCATTAGATTTCTTTGTGTGGGGATTTCTAAAAGAAAAAGTGTACCAGACTCCCGTAACCACAAGAGATATGCTAATAGACAGAATCAGGAATGCATGTGATGAAATAAGGCCTTATTTGAATAATGCTATGCTACGTTCGATCACTCGTAGATGTGAATTATTGTGTATTGAACAATTGGGTTTACATTTCGAGCAACTACTTTAGATTTTGTATGTTTGTCCTAACTATCCAATAGCATTTTAGTTGTAAATAATTAATTGAATTTGTTAAAAATAATATTGGAAAATTAAACAAATTAATATTCTGTTTTTTTTTGTGTTTATTTGGAGTTAGGAATTATTGCTGTGTTTAAAAACACAATCTAAACGATCATCTTAATTACTTGTAATGCCCAAATCGAAAATATAAAAAAAAATATTATTTTCCCATAAATAATTAAAAATGCATCGAACCTTAAAAATTGAAATATCTCAAAAACTATAACGAAAACTCACAGGAGAGCTTTTTTATGCAGAAAAGTGCGAAGAATCAGTTTTTTTTTTTCAAAAAACAAAAAATTGCACTAAGACAAAATTTTCGGTTATTTTAATACACTACAGGTACAGTAGAGAGCGCCCTCTAGGGGCTACAGTAAAACTATGCCCCTGGTTCGTTTTGTCGTACCAAAGAACCCTTGTATACCGATTTTCACTGTTATACATCAAATATTGTTCGCGATATTTAAAAAAACTATTTTAAAAAGTAAATTTAAACACCCTGTATTTCGGAAGCCACGCATTTTTCGACCCATGTTTATATAGACTTTATGCATTAATTTTAAAAGTTCTATCGAATCTTAAAGTTATGCAACAATAAACTGAAACACCCTGTATTTATACAATTACAACCTCTCTAATTACATTTTCCCCTAAAATAGAATCACAGAAATATTTTCGATGCGCGTGTGCTTTATATTTGCTCCCGGCAACGTACCAGTCTTGGTGAGTGTTCTGGTATTCCTGCCGCGTCTGACCGAGTCAGGTATAGCGGAGAGGCGACGTTGCCAGATCGACTACTGATAGGGCAGGGAAAGTATTTCTATGGACTAATTATATGAACCTGCTTGACTGACTTGATCCGTTTGATTGCTCTGTTGTAAATATTCGTAACTATTTTTTTTCTGCGAGGCTCCAACTTGTGGTGAACATAATGCTCTATGAACTGATGATGGCGTTGCTTGAGAAATGCAGAGTCAAAAAGTAACTTTTACACCATCTGGGTGGCCAAACCGAAATCGTAGTCGTCTGCAATCCCAACAAAAGGTGTCACGTCTGCCTCTGACGCGAGAGCATTAAACAGTCAACTGTCTATCGGGTGCGGTTATCTAGGCCTGCTGCAATTGACGACCGCCTTTTTGACAGCCCATCACCCATTGTTATGGTGATATGAGGATTACACGTACTTACAACCACATCCGATGCTGATCGACGCTTTGGTGGCACGTCAAAAAAACTTTTTTCAATGCTCGGATTACGACCGGCGGTAATGGACCGAATATGGATTAGACTAATCGAGTGTAGCTCATTTGTTTTGATAGATCGGCCACGGTCCGTCTCTTTTGGTAACACCGTGATTGTGCACTTTTTCGAGAATTTGTTCTGTTCGTTCATTATCGCCTGTTGCATCAATACGAGGTAGTTAGATTAAACATAAAAATCGATGATCTAAAATGATTTAAAAACAGTCGCAATTTTTCTAAGACTTACATAAACAAATAGCGAATCAAGTTCAGCGCAATTTAAATCCTCTAAGAATAAGGTCAGTTACGAACATGTACAACAGAGAAGTAAAACAGATTTAGGGCCGATTTCACCAACATTAATATTATGGAAAAGACCTTATCGAAATGCAATTTGACTAAAGCTGTCAAAGGTCTCAGAATATCAGTGATTTCTATTAAAATATTGAATAAAATCGTGAAAATTCGACTGTATTATAAACAAGACCACTTTTTGATTCCAACACGATGCTTTTGTACAGAGAAAACAGGGCAACTTTCATGTATTTTGATTTATGTTATAGGTGTAGATTTGACCATCCATTATCCCCTCAGCGAATGGGAATGTGAGAAATAATAGGTCGATTTTCTAACTGTTAAATTTGGCAGCAGGTTTGGTCGTTTGTTAATTCATGGCAATCTCGAAATTTGTTAAGTTCAATATACTGTGTGTATATGTGATCATTATAGCTACACATACCTGTTGAATTTTGCGGATTTGCAAGAAAATAGAATATAAAATGTATTCCAACCAATTCCTCATCTCTCTTTACATCATAATAGTAATCATTTGTTATAAATTCATGGGTTAATGAATTTCTTCAAAGCAATCAAAACAGTATGGTCGTCCCATCCTAAAACACCGATATGTGTAAAACATGTTAATCCCTACATCTCCGAGGTGCATAATGCAATTACTGTAGACATAGACCTAAAATTATTAGTAATTACTGAAAAATAAGAGCTAGAAAGAATTATAAATAGTGATAAAATATTGGTGGTTAAGGTTTTTGGCTGGTGACTGGTGGGGATACAATATAGGGATGGCGACGATAGACGATACATTGATGTCTCGAAAACATTGATACATCGGACGTAGAACATCGATCGAATTGAAAGGCCAGAAAGCTATTTAGGTGTTTAGTAGTATTTGAATATTATCATTACAGACGAGCACTGAGCCACTGAGTGGCCACTGACCACTGTAGTCGTTTCTTCATTCTGTACTTCCCCAAGGGATAGAATAAAATAGACTGAAAACAGCGCGTTTAATGATTTTCAGTTCTCAGAGAAAGATTTTTCCCTGCCGGCCCTTGACATCGTTTCGAAATATGAAATTCTGGAAGCGCTATAAAAATGAATACACAAAGCCTACTTACCTATTTCAGACAAAAACAAAAACAACTACCACATAACGATTGTCACCTTGACATCATTCTGCAATATGTCAAAGTAGTATCTGCTGCACGGTATACGGTATCGATATTCGATAAAATATATTTCTTTCTACCATGAATGCGTGCAAAAAACAAAATAAGGAAAGATCTAAAATAAGGAGTTATTGAAGGCCTAAAATAGCCAGGCTCTAATAATTTCTGGCCGTATTTGAATATCTAAGACGGCACAGTAAAACAAAAATAAGACTTGGAATTAATAAAGTTTATTTCGACAGTTGGCAGAGTTTGCTCCACTGGGACGAAGTGTTGACGGATCCCACAGAATTATATGTCACTTGTCGATATGGTTAGTTTTAAAATATCAGGAG